TATTTTAAAAAGTATTACTGCAGAAGGAGTATGAGGATCCAAGGGGGGAAAGGGTGGAAGCAGAGTGATGTGTATGCTGGGGTGGGAGGGGTGGGATTAATCACAGGGTTGTAAAATTTGATGGGAGGTGAGGGAAATTGGAAGAATCTAGTCTGGAAAGCAATGTATTCAGATTTTATAGATAAACTAGTATAATAATTTTTAAAAGATAGGGCAGGGTTTGGAGCTAATAGGGTCCCTATGAATCAAGGGCAAATTGATGGCACATAACAACAACAACAATAAGATAAATATTATTTTTACCATAGACCCTGAAGCTTTGATAATTACAGCTTCTGGCACAACTGTTTTGGTTACTCTCTCTTACTTTGGTTCCAAGTGCTTTCAGGATGGCTGAGGAATCTTTGTTTGTCTGTTAGTAAACAGCAGTTTGATAAACAACAATGTAGAGCAAGTGGCCATTTGCTTTCTTGCATCTCACAGATATAGACTGACATTGGGATTAAGAGGTGCTCTGTGGATATATTGTGAATGTGTTGTAGTAAATTGAGCGATAGTCGATGGCCTTTGCTAACTGTTGTAAAGTCAGTCTTGATTAATGATGATAATGGAAATGAACACTACCTGGTCCTGCTTCAGGAAGACCTGGTGCTATGTAGTGTGTAACAAGCTGGATTTTGTAGCTTCCCAAAGCTGCTGGTGAGCATTTCACTCTCCAAATTTTCACTTTAAGATGAGTGTTTTGTTTTGCTTTTGGTTTTAGTTTCTTGTTTGTCCTAACTCTTATGTACTACCTCTAAAATTCCAAGTTCCAACATATGTTTCTAATTCTTTTACCAAATGCATGAAGACGGTTTATGTGGAGTAAAGCCAAGAAAACTTTATTGCTACCAAGTCCATCTCACCTCATTGTGATCCTTCATCTGGTATCCAAAGCTTAAGATCTCAAAGGGAAGGGAAAGCCCCAAACCACTTCTGGGGCACAGGGTACAGACACACAAAGGGAGCTGGTATAAGAGGGAATAAAGCAAGCTGCCTTTGGACCGGCAAAAAAAAAAAAAAAAAAAAAAAAAAAAAAAAAAGATCTCAAAGGGAGAAGGCTCTAGATCTTTGTCCAAGGAGCCACTCTTCGTTTCAACCACTACTTGCTAGATATTACTCCAACAGATCTCACTAGGAGAGCACTGATACTTTTATTGTTGTATGTCATCCAGGCACTTGGGACTCATACTGACTTGTATGTACAGCATCTTTGAACTCTACTCTATCTTGAGCCAATTTCATTGTCTCTGACACATTTATATCCATCACCCTGTCACTGAGTCAATCTATCTCATCGCGAGTCTTTATCTCTTGTGCTGTCCCACCATCCTTCCAAGCATGATGTCCATCTCCAAGGACTGGTCTATCCTGGCAACCCAAACTATGGCAGATGGAGCTTCAACACTCTTGACTCCAAAGAGCAGCCTGGTTTTACTGTCTCCAGGACAGACCTATTTGTTCTCTTGATGTTCCATGGTATGTTTAATACTCTTCTCAAGCACCACAACTCAAAGGCATCAATTTTTTTCTATCATCCATAATCATTGCAAAGATCATGGCTTAGATCAGGAGCACCTTGATCTTTCTACTGACCTCATCACTTTCCAATACTCTAGAGAGGTCCCTGACATCGGATTTCCCCAATGACATTCATCTTTTGATTTCTTGACTGGGGGTATCAAGACTACCGATTGTGGAGCCAAGTAAACTGAAACTGTCAACAATCTCAATCTCTTTACCATCTATCATGATGTTACCAATTGGCCCAGTTGTGAGACTCTTTGTTTTTTTGATGTTAAGCTTCAGTTTACCCAGAAGGCTGTAGTCCTTGACCTTCTGCAACAATTGCCTCAGATCCTTCTCAGTCTTGGAAAACAAGGTTGTGTCATCTTTGTAATGCATGTTGTTGATGAGTCTTCTTCCAATCTGGATGCCACATTCCTCCTCATAGAGCGCCGTCTCCAGGATAATCTGATCTACATGTTGTTGTTGTTGTTGTTATGTGCCATCGAGTCGTTTCCGACTCATAGCG